AAGTCAATCAATCAATCAGTCAATTAACCATTAGTGTCTAACCTCRTCTATCAAGACACACACCAATGCATCTTTATCGTCAATCAATTCCTGRATCTTTTGAAACATCTTCATGACTAATTTGCCACTCTAAACACAACAACACAACACAGTTAATAGACACTTGAATCAAACAAACTGATAGTTGTACAACACCACTTACTTCAGAAAACCACTTGGAGAAAAGACTGTGACTGTTGATTTCTATCAGYTGTCCATARCTATACCTAGAAGAAGAAAGCAAGAAAATAATTTGTATGGGTTTACGATGTTTGTAAAAAGCACACATTGGATAATACTCAATATATAAATTTGACAAAGAATTCATCACAATGCCTTGCCCAAATCAAGAGATAGCTGATACCTTTGATTCACACTGACAATAACAGGCAATGTGCAGCGAAGACATTTTGTGCAGCAAAGCATGATGGTAGTTGTAGTCCTCGTTCTTTTCATAGCTTCTAAAATATCTCCTTAAAAGCCGTTTTTATATTTTCTTTTTATAAACGGCACAAATACTTAGTTCTATTTTTGCTTAGGAAAAGCAATAACTGGTTAAAAGGACTGTTTTAGCGGACATAAAAAAGTATGAGGACTACAACTACCATCATCCTTTGCTGCACATTGCCTATTGACAGGTATCAATCACTGCAAGTAACTGGCCTTCTGTCTTCACTGCAAAACGGACAGCTACCTTTTGAAAGGCAAAATGGACTAGGAAGGAAACTATAGCGATCTTGTCTTACCTCTCTGAGAGGCGAACAGTTAGTTTTTGTGCGAGCGCTTTACAGAGGGATGTCTTCCCTGTTCCTGGTGGACCTAATGAGATATTGGTGTAAGTATCATTTTTAATCATTTCTRCAATGATTTTCATCAGCATTATTAGTAAGTAAGCCAGCAAAGTGTTTCTCACTTCCTCTGCTGGGTTCTTAAGATCGAGACAYRATKGCAACATAATTAAAAGCCCAACCCATTGTAAGGTAGCATAAAAACATTCGATTGGTTGCTAGACATAATTATGGGCCAAAAACAACAGGGTGCCTTTCTGAGTTTTAAAAGTAGTCAAATGCTATAAAAAAGGGTTTCCACTTTCATGGACTATTTTACCAGAAATAAAATCATATTGAAATAATAATCATCATCAACTACAATTACAATCAATGTATAATTAGTAGTTTACCGTGTAATAGTACAACTCTATTCCAAGTGATGATATTGCTGTTTACTCCTCTGCCAAGAAACAATATTAAAAACAAGATATCAGAAAAAACTTAACTAATATAAAACTATTTCAAAAATAGAGTACTTGAAACAAAGGTATTATGCTGTGATAGTTGCCCTTGGRAAAAGAAATAGTCACCAAAGAATGTAGTTTGTGGGTGACTATAAAGTCTGGAGGAACATCCAGTTTCCAAGAGCAACTAACACAGGAACAAAAAGATGTGAATGAATTCTGAAGCAGCTCTATACTATTCACTCTGTGACTGACAAGAYTGTGTCACATGGTTGATTCGCCACCAATGAGAGCAAAGGAAAGTTTGTTGTTGAATTATTAGAAATATATTAATAAGACTGACCTGTCAGAAAACAGCAGTGTTGTAGTAGCATAGTTTATCAGCTAAAAAAAAATCAAATCATATTAATTGACATAAAATACAACTATAAATTCATGAAATATTAGATTATACTATTAGTTACCTGAGCCTTGACTTCTGAATCAAATATTAAGCTATCCCAAAGGCCATCAAATTCAACTAAAAATAAATATTATATTATCAAACAAATAAATGGAATTATACTGTTTTTGCATGTAGACAGGTATGTTTGCTATGTAAACTCCAGCTTTACTAAGGGAAACCATGACAGCAAGTCATCAAGAAAATCTACCCTGTAATCAAGCCACTTTCTTGTATAATAGGCAGCCTATCCATAGTCACTGCTGCATATGCACGTAGCTCACCAGTCCTTTTATGCATATACAGTGCATCTACAGAAAGGAATGGAATATGCATGTATATCTACTAACTTGAAGGCAATAACCAGTGATTTGCAGCTGATATTTCTTCYTCGAGTTCCTCGCTAGCAGGACCATCTTCATGAAGTTGAAARACATGGATTGCAAGTTTGCAATTTTGAAGATCAATTGCCTGTGCAGTAAACACAACTTGGATCATTAAATAATAAACTTTAGTACAAATCCTGGTGCAAATCCTGTAGGGTCAGTTTTGTAAAAAGATTAGTTCTGTTAAAGTGTTAGTTATCCTGTGTAAGATCCTATTCAAGATCCTACAGGATCCTGTCTAAGATTTGCACCAGGGAAAAAAACAATTTAGAAATTGTAAACGCTTTCTAGACCTGACACAACAAGTCATGCTTTTTTATGGATCACCATCTGTTTACATTTTCTTTACAGTGTATTATTTATTGTTGCCAATATAATATAATATCATATTAATTATAAACCTTTGTCTCTCTAGCTACAAGTTCAGTGTCACAAACTGTCACAGACTTGACATGCTCTTTAAGGAAGTGATCTTCAAATTGAGTGAACGTAGAATCGCCATAAGAAATACCAACACACATTAGAAACTGATAAACATAGTCACGAATTGAGCTTGGTTGAGCTGTGCTATAAATAAATAAACAAAAAAATGAATGGAATAAGAACTCTATGTCATAAAACGTTTAATCTTAAGTAAGCTTATAAGTTTATCAAAGGAATATTCTCAAAATAGAGAGATCGACACGACATCCTTAGTTCTCTTTCAAGCATCTAAGCAAAGGACAATAATTTTAATGAAAAAGAACAAAAATTGTGGCAAATAGTAAGCTTACCTGAAAGAATTTTGACAAACTTCGACATGGAATTTGAGTTCGTCTGGATCTGGAAGCGCCTCTGAAAGTTTTTGCACTTCGTCCATGATGACACCAAACCCTCCTGCGTTTGTCTATGGTGTAGTTATTTCAAATCCATCACTATCAAAACTCTAGGGAAATGATTTTTGAATATTTATAAATGCTGTCTCTGCTTTATCTCGAGTTTCCTGTTTAAAAATTCCGCCAAATTTTTCTTGAGCCCGCATTGTCTAAAAGCGGCGATACAAATGTCCAATGCGCACAAGCTTCTGATCATATTTGGTTGTAGTCCTCCTCTACCATTTTTATCCCGGGAAGACKAGGTACTAATTTTTTCCGCCATTTTTTTGAATGTTTGTTTTGAAAAAGAATTCGACAAAATTATTGATAAAACATAATGGCTTTGCCTCCAGAGAAGATCCAAGAGTTAAAACAGTTRATTCACAACCACATGTCCCATGCCAGCGTGCATTCGAGGATAAAAAGTTGTGTTGAGGAGTCGTTTACTGGCGAAGACCAAGACATTGACGAACGATTTTTACTCCAAGCTTTGAAAGATAGGGGAATTGTTGATGAGGTGATGAAATCGTTGCATTTTGAGGGGTTAGAAAGACAMGATAAAAAGAAGGTTAGGTCACCGAAASAGAGGAAAATCGTAGAAGAAGAAGAGCCCTTGAGAGGTATTGCAAAAAATGTCGATCTATAAGCTCAAAAATGTAGCTTGTTTCAAGCTAATTYGTTAGYTTGTGTTACTTGTTACAGTTGGCATTGATCCCACCAAAAGATACTTATATCTRCAAGTCATTGGAGGCAAGGCTTTCCTGGAACACTTGCAGGATCCTGAGCCAATACCTGGCAGAGTCACGTCAACTTTTACACTTCACATTCACTTTAGAGGACAGAGGTTTMGGTCCAGGGCTGTACCTTGTGCATGTGAACCAGATATATCAGAAGGTAATCTGCAAAACACAGCTGAACAAAAATAGACAGTGTCTGGGGTGAGAGATGGAGGTGGGGATGGGGGTTTGTTAGTGGGAAGAACTCCCTTCCAAGTGGTAGCCGTTTTTAACTTATCATGTTTGAAAATGGCCCTAAAAGGTACTATACTGGAGATTATGATGTTTTCTGGTCTGTTTATACGGTGACTGAATGCAGCTACTTTAATTACCATCCACAGGATTCCTTCTCGAACTTCAGAAAGATCAGCTTCCAAATAAAATGTCTGACACACCATCGCTTCTGTCAATGTCAGATGCTATTCACATTGTATTGATCAAAACAGACCCTTCCGGTGACACAACATTGGTTGGATCACATTATCTTCAGTGGCGTAATGTTCTTTTCTCTAAGTCGGGAAGATTGTCTTGTCCTTTGGAGCTCAATGGTGTTGGAACAGAGTCCAAAGTTCCAGTTGGTGTACTTGACATAAAGTTTGAAATGATTCCAAGGTTGACACAGGTACATGTAACTTCAACTTATTTTCTTTCTTAAAGTGTATTATGTAATCTCTTTATCGCAGCCGTAACAAGGCTCGTTCCCAAGTCACTCTCCTAACAGCTACGAAAGGAGACTACTATGTATTATGATGAATTTATAATGTAATTGTGTGTTGTTGAATGCATTTCTAGATTTTGACTCAAGAAGTTGTGAATGCCCAGATTAGTCTAGAACACAACAGGATAGCAGAGCGTGAGCGCTTGTTCCTGGTTTATGCCAAGCARTGGTGGAGAGAGTACCTTCAAATTCGGCCATCRCATTCTAATCGTTTGGTAAAGATATTTGCACAGGAYGAGTGTGCTATTAACAGACCTGTATGCTCRTTTGTGAGACCACTAAGAGCTGGAAGACTGCTTGATAGTCCTCGTCAGGCTGCACGTTTTGTTAGTCTTCTTGGTTATGAAAGCACKCCATCTCTTGGTGGTGGAAGAGCTGAGATGTGGAGCTCCTTGCATGCTTTTTTGTGCAAGGGTAAAGGGGTAAGTTCTTTACCCCAACCATTTAGTATGCTTATATTTTTATCATCTTTTATTATATCTTAGTGGTTATGTACAGCCTTTTGCAAAAATTATGAGAATTGTCTAAATATCTAAATATCATAATATCCATATCCATATATTGTCCGGAACATGCGGGTTTGCTAGAATAATTCATTGTTGACATCGAGAAAATGTTCAGAACTATGGATAAGTCTGTCGCCAAAAAAAACCCTAAGCTACAAAGACTAAGGGCATCGCACGGGATTACCCATCATGCACTCGATATTATGATATTTAGATATTTCGACAATTCTCATAATTTTTGCAAAAGTCTGTATACCACTAATATATATATTATTATATAG